GGAGTTATAGGCTTCTGGAAGGAGACCACAGAATATTTATCAAGAATAAATATTATCTATATAATTTATCACTGTTGATGTTGACCTCAGTAAACTGGCTGAGGTAATACTGTCAGGTTTCTCCCTGATAAATCCATTCTCCTCACCCTCCTTTTCATACTGTGCTCTTTGGAAGGGAGTTGCTATGTACAGCCTTAAGGAGTACGGAGTTATACTGTCTCCTTGGAAGTATCCACATTATTTATTTGGAATTCTTCTGCTTGGGAGATTTATCTTTTCCATTTCTTTTTTTTCTGGCAGCGCCGCACAAAGGATCTTAGTTCCCTGACTAGGGATCGAAACTGCGCCGCCCGCATTGGAAGCACCGAGTCTTAACCACTGTACCACCAGGGAAGTCCTTCCCCCATTTATTTATTTATTTATTTATTTAATTTTTGGCTGTGTTGGGTCTCCGTTCCTGTGCGAGGGCTTTCTCTAGTTGCGGCGAGCGGGGGCCACTCTTCATCGCAGTGTGCGGGCCTCTCACTGTCGCGGCCTCTCTTGTGGCGGAGCACAGGATCCAGACGCGCAGGCTCAGCAGTTGCGGCTCATGGGCCCAGCTCATGGGATCTTCCCAGACCCGGGCTCGAACCCATGTCCCCTGCATTGGCAGGCAGATTCTCAACCACTGCGCCACCAGGGAAGCCCCCCTCCCCATTTATTTATTCAGTCAATCATTTACTTACGTCAGTATGGACTAACAGATATATATTTTATACTTTGTGTTATAAGCTAACACTACCTAATTTATCTGGTTGCTGAACTTACTCTAGCTCAGGCCATTGGGAGCTCTCTCAGGGGTCTCCTGGGTCCCTTTAACATATCTCCTATCACTGTGGGTTTTTCTTTCTAGACACTTCCTTACTTTCTCTGACACATATACAAGATGCTCCAGGCTCATCTTGTGTTTCCTGCCCCAGTCCTAGTGTCAGCCATTTCTTCAAGGAATCCTGGTTCATTTTATTGGAGACTAGAGACCACGATCTGGGCACTGGGTGTGCTTGTAGCTACTGGGATATCACTGCTTCTAGGCTCTCTCAGCTAACAAACTGAGGAAATATATGTGTATATACTAACCCGTGCATATACGTATATCTAAAAATATTTCTATATGCAACCAGCTCTATCTATATTAAGCTAAAGACAAGTTCACATTGATGGCTCCAACTCCAATCCATTACCACAGGGATAATTCTAGCCTCTTCCTCCTGTTTGTCTTCAACAACTCACTCCATGGGAAACTTGGCTCCCACCAGCCACCACCCTTTACTTAATTGTTCAATTCCATTATACACATAGAGTGGTTTCTGAATTGTTAACCTGGGAGGAAACACTTTCTCAACAAGAGTACAATGTTTATGTACAGTTCCTTTTTCCTTTATTTTTACATATGCCACCCATTTCAAAAGTGACTCAGATCAGCACTTTTTTCCTTCAACTTTTTTTAGTGAGGTTATTCCATACATTTGCAGTAGGGTTTAGATTATTTTATCACAGTCTCCATCCTAGGATCCCATGATATCCTAATTGATTAAAAAAATTTTTTCATATATTCAGGTTCAATTTTTGTGCTATAAAGTTAGGACTTGACAGAAGCATAGTGTTTTATATCTATCATTACAGTATTACATGGAATAGTCTCACTGCTCCAAAAAGTTCCCTTGGCTTCACCTATTCAAGTCTCCCTGACCTTGAACTTATGGTAACCATTAACCTGTTTGTAATCTTTATACAGTTTATTTATAGTTTTTTAGATGTAGTTTTCCCTTTTAGAATGTGATATAAATGATATCATACAGTACGTAGCCTTCTCAGACTGGCTTCTTTCACTTAGCAATATGCCTTTAAGATTCATCTGTGTCTTCGTGTCGCCTGATAGCTAATTTTTCTTCTTCTTCTTTTTTTTTTTTGCTGACTAGTACTCCAATTGTATGGATATACCACTGCTTGTTTATCCATTCACTGACTGAAAGACATTTTGGTTGCTTCCAATTCTTGAATATGAATAAAATTGCTATGAACACTTGTGTGCAGGTTTTGGTTGTGGACATATGTTTTCAAATCAGTTGGATAAATACCTAGGAGTGCAATCGGTGGTTTGCTAAAGACTATATTTAGCTTTGTAAGAAACTGCGAAATGGTCTTCCAAAATGGCTGTACCATTTTGTATTTCCACCAGCGATGAATGAGAGTCCCTACTGCTCTGCATCCTTGTCAACATTTTGCTACTGTCAGTTTTTAAATTTTAGCCATGCTAATAGGTGATAGTATCTTATTGTTTTAATTTTCATTTCTCTAATGACAAATGATGTTGAGCATCTTTTCATTTGCCTATTTGATACCTATATGTCTTCACTGCAATGTCTGTTCTTATCTTTTGACCATCTTTTAATTGGGCTGTTTGTTTTCTTATTGTTGAGTATTAAGAGTTCTTTGTACATTTTAGATACAAGTCCTTGATCAAATATATGTCTGTGGCTTGTCTTTTCATTCCCTTAACAGTGCAGAGCAGTCAATTATTAAGTCCAACTTACAATGTTTTTCTTTCATGGATGCTTTTGGTGTTGTATCTAATACCTTATCACCAAACTTAAGGCCATAAATATTTTCTCTATGTTTTCTTCTAGAAGAGTTTTATATTGTAGTTTGCATTTTACAGGTAGGTTTTTGATCAGTTTTGAGTTAATTTCTGTGAAAGGTGAGCCAGTGTTGTTTTTTTTCTCATAAGGTTCTCCTTAAAAGACTGCTTCAGAAAGGTATCTTGCTGGAGTTTTAGCATAAACAAACAAACAAACAAACAAACAAAAACAGTAACAGCCAACAGCACCTCATAGCTTTTGAAGTTAATGCTTACAGACATCAATACTAGAGGTGTAATGTCTGGATCTAAGGGAGAAACTCTTCCTATAGCAATCTGCCATGGCCAGACCATATCTATGGTTTAGTATGCTTTGCTCTGGGTGGCAACTTGATTTAATAGTGAAATTGGTAAGCTGGAATTCATCTAGAGAGCGATTGGTATGATAAAGAGTCTGGGTTCAATTGTTACAGCTGTTTTCATGATATGTCTATTTCCCTATCTCTTTTATTCCTAGACACTGAACAGCTTGTGGGCAGGACATATATATATTTTCATCATACATGCCCAGAGTCTAGCACTTAGTACGTGTTAAATAAGTATTTAATTAGTGAATTCAGTGAAGAAGTTAAGGATGTTTAATACAGAAAATAAGAATTCCTCAGACAATATATCCCTTTGAATAGCCACCATATATCTCTTGGGAAGAGGATGTATGATAATTATCAACAAATATTTTAAGGGCTATCATGCAGAAAAGGGATTAGAACCATGACAGAATTCACAGAGGTACAGAATTTCAACTCATTATACATAAGAGGAGGCTGTCTTATGGTGAGCCTGCAATCACTGAAAAAATTAAAAGAGCTTGACTGAATCTTTGTGAGGGCTATCAGGAGAGGGGGCTTCTGCATTGAGAAGGAGAGTGAATGAACCACTTTCTGTGTGTTTCAATGCTGAAGCTCTATGGGCTCTAACAGATCTAGTACACAGTCAAATAAAGAATTTCAAAAGCTCTAAGAACAGAAATAATTATGGTGTCCTATTCAAAATTAAAAACAAAAATTTGTGATTCAAAATTTGTAATTCAAAATTAAAAACAAAAATCTATATTATAAAGTATTTGCTAGGAATTCCAATAGAATTCATGTGTTCCCATGATTACTTGTCTTTTTTTTTCATACAGCGAGTATAAACCATTCCCCCTTAATTCTCCCTTTCTCTCTTTCATGCTGTTCCTTTGCAGGACCATACAAATGTGATTATTTCTGCTTATTGCCCAGTACTGACTTTCTGATTCTAGGTACAAGACAAGGAGTATGCCGAGACTTCTTTTGGAATCATCTGTAAAACTAAAAACAAACAAACAAAAAACTACTCTGAAGAAACCCCAGGCAAAGGCAGGAAAGTCCATGGCCTTTTCATTTAAAATGTTCATTTATAATAACTATAACAGCAATAAACCTGGAGACTGTCTAGTCCATAGTATAAAATGCAGTTATGCGTTTCAAAAATAAGAGCCACCTACAACTGATACGCAACGCTTGCCAGCTCTCAAACCACTAACATTCATAATGATGATCTAGAGATGGTGATGCTAGTCAAGTACAGCCTTAATCAAAGATGAGATGACTTATATTCCACTTAGTTTTAAATTTTAAGTTTCTTCCCACTGTGCTCTAATTCTTTGAAAATTGATACACGTGCCAAAACACATGATTAAACAGAACATTTAGGCCTTGATCATATATACGTGATAACAGAATTTAAGGCAAAAGCTAATTTGTTAATGACTATCAACTTACAAATGCTGTACTAACTTGTTGATTATATTTATCACATGAATTTTTTTTCATTGTAGCTGAGTAAGTTTCATACTTTCCTCTCATGGTATCTTAATTGTTGAAGAAATTTACAGGTCACGCATTATTTCCCAAGAATTCTGTGAAAAACCATATATTGAGCTAAGTGAATATTGATTTATTTATAACACTTCTGTATTCAGAAAACTAGTTCTTTGATTCAGCAGGTCTTGATTGTTACTTTAACTCCTATAAGAAACCTGTTAGAGCTTTCATGGAAAGGGAAGGAGAGTGAACCTTTTCCTATAAGTAATGTGAGTCATCTTCTCCCCCATCCTAGAGCTGCCGCTGAGCTGATATGTTCTCATGATGAATTGACCTCCCCAAGTTACAACGGAAAAGGTACACTGAAATAACCTTGCCAGGCCTTGCTATGAGGGTTAGTGCTTGCTTAAGAAAAATAAACTGCTCCCTGAGGCAATGATGTTAGATTAAAGATCTGAAATACACCCGTGGTGAACCATAATTATTTTTTTAAAGACTTATTTATAATTTTAAAAAGCAGATAAAAAAATACTTACTGGAACATCAACATATTTTGCGGCTGCTTTCACCTTAAGTGGAAAAGAGATAATTATGAGAATTATTTTCTTAACTGTTTGATAAGTACTGTGACAGCAGTCAAAAGACAGCAGAGGAGAACTCATTCAAAATACTCACAGTGAATGACAGAATGGATGAAAAGAAAGTACCTTCATCATATCTTGACAGCTTAGACAACACCCCTTCCAACACTGAAACAAACTAGAATACACGTTATAGTGAGTATTTAGGATAGTACTGTGCATACAAACAAATAACGGGGCAAACAACTCTTGGACCAACTTCTCCCGTGGCACAAAAACCTGAAATGTATAAAGTGACACATGACAAAATCTCATTTTGAAGATGAACTCTAAGGTCCTTTTACATTGCTGGAAAAAATACGCACATTTTTTAAGATAAAAGAACAATGTGTAATAGGAGTCTGGTTACTACGTGTGAGATGACTTAAACCATTAGTAAAAAACTTTAAATCCCTGTGACTCTTCCTTAATATAATTTTCAACTCCAATATAGATGTTTATAAGTCCTCATCACAAGAAAAAAATGTTGTAACTCTGTATGGGGATGGACTTATTTTGGTGATCATTTTGCAATTTATACAGATATCAAATCACTATGCTGTATACCTGCAACTAACATAATGTTGTATGTCAATGATACCTCAATAAAAAAAAATAGAGAGATGTTTCAAGGCAACGATGGTCAAGCTTCATCAAACTCCTTTCTATCATATAGCACTTGACCATTCCCCAACTTTTTCTATCTACAGACGAGGTTGAATGACAAAGAACAGAAAATGGAAAGGTGTAACATCTGGGGCCCTTGTAACATTGAAAGGAAGTATGATACATCAGCTAACGAGTATTCACCAAGCAGTTCCAATTGGGACATGTAAGGATCATCCCTGCTTTCAGAAGCTTACAAAGTAGTTGGGGAGCTCAAACAGATACACGCACTGCAGAGTACAATGAAAAGAGCACCAGACTGAGAACATAAATCCTGATTCTGTCATTGACTGACTGCTATGTGGGCTCCAGCCAACCAGTGCACCGGTTCCCCCATCAGTCAAAGGTGTGTTTGTGTTGGTGGGACGGGTATGGAATTAAAATTGTCTTAAGAGTTTTACATTTCTAAAATTTTATACTTCTATGAAATGAGAGTTAAGACATATATACTGTAATGTAATTAAAAATGTGGAGAATTTTATTTCATTGAGCAGAAACATTAAGATCTGGCATGAAGATAAATAAAAGATATTAATAAGGATCTACTGCCCTACATCTTTCCTCTTTAGAAGCAAAATAATATGCACTATTGACAAATTATACCTTCCCAAAGGGAAAATACCGACAAGGTTTTTTAAATACAAAAAGGGAAATTAATGAAGGCTGGTTTTTGTTCACGTAGCAGCTTCTTCAACAAAGGGATAATAGTTCTAGGGACACACCTTATTGGTCTCTGGTGAGCAGAGAACTCGCTGAGAGTGCACAGGAGATAATCTTTTCTCTATGGCTGGTCAATTACTGCAAAATAGTTTATGCAAAAGAAACAAAAACTTCCCTGCAGGTTTCTCCATCACATCATTTGAGACATGATGTAAGAACACAGAAACAAATTCATGTGAACTGCTGACTAAAATTTTATTTTTATTAAAGAATGAGAACTATGTATGGTTGGTTAGTTATCCTAGGGGATACAAATAGCAAAAAACATAAAATTACAAATTGCTCACAACTAAAAGTCAGTTTAGCACCTTCCTCCTGCCCATTAAGATTTCTTACCAATCACAGCTGGCTAACTCAACTTCTTGTGGTTGGCAAAGACCCAGAAGACCTATACTCCAGGGCTATGACCAGGGGAAGGGGATGCCAAACTTAATGGCCCTCTGCGGAAAATGCCTCATCTCTTGTAACTCAAATCTTGAAAGCCAGTGTGTGATGGGTGATATCATTTGCCATGAGGAGAGAGACAATTGCTATGGTTACCAGACAACGTGAACCACTGAAGGCTCTAGCATAGCATCTGGTTCACTTGCCTTCAAGTGAGTATTTGTTTACACAGGTGAGTGATGCTGCGGCACTAGGCAAAGTAGAGGCAGATCCTGTGGATGGATTTAGAAGATCTTAGCTCGAGTTGAAGCTCTGCCGCTCTCTGGAGGTGAGACAACAGTCTGGACGTTCAGCTTCTCTAGCCTCAGTGTACTCATCAGTAAAATGGGGAAAATGTCACTGCTTTGCTCACAATAAGGATGGTGTGGAAATCAGCAGAGATGATTTAGGTGAAGGGACTGTGAAAATGGCAACACACTAAGATATACAAAGAATGAATATTATTGGTATGATGAGCTAAATCACTAGCCATTATATGTCTAAAAACCTACACATGTTAAGTCACAAGTTAACGGGGGCAGCCTTGGAATTGTTTAGTGATAAGGAGAAATAATGCATTTGGTTACCAGCGAACGCGTCTAATTCAGTGACATGATATCTATGGAGGCAGGATAGAGTTGATGCTGTAAGTCAGAAGACCCATGTCGGAATCCCATCTGTATCAAGGTCATGTGGCTGACAGTAGAGGAGGGAGGCTTTGGACACAGGTGGTCTGGCTCCAAAGCCCGTGTTCTTTGCCATCACACTACAGAGTTGTAAGCATTAAATGATATAACTAATGTGCCTGGAATATAATAAGTGCTCAATAAATGCTATTTTCTTCTTCTTATTGAGCACCTAATATGGGGAATACAAAAAAAAAAAAGAATCTTAGACCCTTCCCTCCGGGAATGCACAAACTAGTAGGAGAGACAGACGTGTACACAGTTGGTCATGACACAAGGCAGGAAGTGATGAGGGACGAACAGTGTAACTGAAACTGGCTTCCATTGGAGGATACTTGGTAAGCTTCGTTTGCATGGTGGCACAGGGGCTGAGCAGCAGGGTAGCAGAAATTGAGTGGCTAAAACAACACTTGGGGAAGCCCATTAGCAGATGACCTTAGGGCAGAAGTTGCCCCACTGTGGCATCTGACAACCTGTCTGGCTCGTCTTCTCTTTAGAGTGTGAAGCAGCACCAGGTTATATCCCACGAAGTCCAGTGTGTGCACCTGCTGCATGCATGTCACAGCATTCTTGGGCTCCATCTTTTTTTTTTTTTTTTTTTTTGCGGTACGCGGGCCTCTCACTGTTGTGGCCTCTCCCGTTGCGGAGCACAGGCTCCGGACACGCAGGCTCAGCGGCCATGGCTCACGGGCCCAGCCGCTCCGCGGCATGTGGGATCTTCCCGGACTGGGGCACGAACCCGTGTCCCCTGCATCGGCAGGTGCACTCTCAACCACTGCGCCACCAGGGAAGCCCCTTGGCCTCCATTTTAACAATAGTGTAGAGCCTCTCCCTGGGATCCTCCCTACCCCAAGTGGTCCCTGGGGAGGCCCAATACAGCAGGGACTCTAAGTGCTTACATGGCAGTGAACAGTGACTGCACCTCTGGGACCAACCACATGAGCCATACAGTTCCACGAGGAAGGTTTTCTTTGTAAGATTTCTGTCAAGGCACATGTGGTGGAAGAGCTACCTTAAAACCCAAAATCTATTAACAAGATTGACTAATAATGATGTAGTTTCCATCTGGCTTTTAATTGTAGAAGGCAGCAAGATTCCAAAGAAATCCAGCTAAATGCTGGATTTAGTTGCTGTGTCTTTAACTGCTTCCTGTGAACTTTCTCTGTACAGCTCAGGGAGGATATAAATACTTACAGGTTTGCCTTGTGCTCCCTGTTCTCCTGAGGGTGTCAGGTTGGAATGAAACCCTGTCATCTCTGTTTCCCTGCTTTTTACTGCGGATGTCATTTACTGGGTTTGTTTGAATAATATTTAGCACCCAAAGTCTGTCCGGGTCATTACCAACTTTGCCTCATTAGGTACACTCTCAGGGAAATTAAAGATGAAGGTATGTTGAAAGGACTGGTAGAATGAAACATGAAGTATGCCACGAGCCATGTCGGTTTAAATCTCCTGCTGGATTTTAACAGGGTATAGGATTCATTTTCCTACATGTATGGAAAGTAGAACGACAAATTCTGAGAAGTGATAGGAACGATTCAGCTGTAGATTGGTGGGTTCAAAACACGCAGTTCTTACTTTTCTCAACTGTGAAATTTCAGGAAGTAAACAAGGAATATTTGCATCATTTACACTGCAAGTTATTAAATCTTCCACAGAAAAAAGATGCACCCATAAACAAGACTAATCATGAAAAACCAGGTGTATTTTGGAGGGGGGGAGGCTACATAGGGCTGGAGATATCTATCAGATGTTTTATTTTTGTTTGGTACAATCAGGACTGACTAGTACTGTTAAAAATCCACCTGGAACCAGAATGTCATGGATTGGAAGAAAGCAGGTTTCCTTCCCTGAACTGGAATGTTAATGTTATGATACAATGGAAAATAATCCTCGCTTCTCCCACTGTGTATCCACGTCCTCTTTGAACCTTTGTTCCAAATGACTCCGAAAAGGTCCTTCCAGATGATCCAGATCGGTATTGAGGATGGACAGGATCTGACAGCACGTATTTATACGACATGCCTTGTTCTGCACAGTATCTCAGACAACTTCCAAAACAGCACGCCTAGCCCGGATGTTGGTGAAGTCTCCACATTCCTCTCATTGTTCTTTTCTCCCTTGTCTCCCAAATAGACTGAACTATGTTAGTTTGTATTTCTTTTCTTCTGATTACTCCTAACAGTGCATGTTATTCCTTTCAAGCACATTCTTGGGTTTCAACAGTTGTCTTCTGAATACATTGTCTTGATCCAAACAAGTACGTTTAACCAAGTTAACTTAATCAGACTGAATTGGTGGTGGTAGAGGAGATACTTTAATTGCATCATCTAGACAGTCAGGTCAGATTTGTCCTCTGTCCCTCTTAAGAGAAATTCAGGGGAAAATATTCTAGGTTATTAAAAAGAATAGGTGGGGCTTCCCTGGTGGCACAGTGGTTGAGAGTCTGCCTGCCGATGCAGGGGACGCGGGTTTGTGCCCCGGTCCGGGAGGATCCCACATGCCGCGGAGCGGCTAGGCCCGTGAGCCATAGCCGCTGAGCCTGCGCGTCCGGAGCCTGTGCTCCGCAACGGGAGAGGCCACAACAGTGAGAGGCCTGCGTACCGCAAAAAAAAAAAAAAAAAAAAAATAGGTGTTGTGGTAT